TTTTTGCTGACAGTTATTAGTCGGCTGAGGCCAGTTTTAGTTGAACTAAAGCTTCACGAGATTTGTTTAAAGAACAAAAAAGAAAGAAAAAGAAAACTTCGAAATATGAAAAAACTATTCAATTTCTCTTGTCACCGTTATCAGCAATGTATGATTAGAAGCTTCTTTACTGAATCCGTTATCTGATGTCCACACAATTGAAGCACTGAAAAATTCTCACGGTTGAAAAAAGAAGATGTAAATTAGCAGTACCCAAACTAAACGTTATAGCTGACTTTTACTACGTGATCGACAATGGTTATCTGGTGAGGATTTCATTGGGTTGTCTGCTTCAGACAATATTTCAACTGTGGTGTCCAACCGTAAACTGGCAGAAGTAAATGAACCAATCTTTTGGAAATACTACAGCTTTTTTTCATTTCTTTGATTGATCTTCTCTCTTACTGTCCCTTAAACTTTATCGGGTGGAACCAGTTATCTGCCGTAATCTTCTACCAAGTTTGTTCACTGATGTAAAGAAGTAAGGTAACAATAAGTGCTTATTTTAAATATACAGGAACCTGATATAGTCTAAAAGTTGGCTGAATATTTCACGGTCCTGCGTACCTTTACTTTTACATCATAATTTTAATTTACAGTTGTCGTCTTGACACAATGTATACAGTCAATTTGGTGTTAATGAAGAAATTTATGCGGTGGATTCAGAGTTTGATGATTTTTGCCCAACTGCTTCGTCGATGTAAAAATGCCAAAAATAGTGAGATGACAACTGTTCAGAGTAAATTTTTTTTTTGCTTTTCATTTCTTGATGTCTTTATTATCCATTTGTGCAGTTAAAACAGCCTTGTCAACATAAACAGTATGTTGTTGATCACAGACAGTAGAAAAGATCACTTAGTTTTTTTTATCTTCTTTTCTTTGGAACAAAGATCCTAATGTTTTAGGCAATAAAGATGTACAAAAATCGATAAATTATTCAACATCAGTAGAAGACCTTAGTACTCCCAAAACCTATCAAGATTACCAAATAGGTTGGCATTTTAATCAATTGTAGGGCCCACTGAAGATCTCACTTTGACTATAAAAAGCTGCTGAACGCTCGTTGTCAAATATGACCAGCAGGTCGATTCAACATTATCAACGCTTCAACAGTTTAACGCCCCCTTCTTCAGCCGTAAATTGATTTTTGTAAAGACATAAAGCTTGATCAAATCACCGTTCCAACAAACTCCAGTCTAAAGTCCGCTTCATTACCTCTCAATATTGAAAACGTCGGTACGCTCTTCAGCTTCGTCAGTATCCATAATGTGTCATGTAGACCAGTGAGCATTTATATCTGAATTTCTTAGTGCAAAAAGTACTAGAATTTCGCGGTCTTACAGTTACATTTATAAAAATTTTGAAATAAGCTTTTTAATTTTTGGTATTTTATTACTGTCGTTAATTTATAAAAGTTCAAAAAGAAAAATCAAAAGAGCTGTAATTTTAATGGTCAATACAGGACTGTTCAACCAATTTTTTCAGTTTTGTACAGCACATTTCAAAAGTATTACAATGCAGAATAAAGAAAGATTTGCAAGTTACTAGAACGCTATTCTTTTACCAAGTAAAAGTAATCTGTAGTACCCAAGTCTGATGCCGGCAGCACTATTTCAAATTCTAATGCTGTTTAAAAAATTCTTCAGCACAGCTATAGTTAAATCTGTCGATACACAGAGTTGGGGAAGGTACTGTCTCTTTTCTAGCTGAGAGCAACTAGACGAGACATATAATGCTTATTCGGCAGATCGCCTTGAACGCCCTTCTCTGTTAAGCTAGGAAAATAACTAAAAGCAGAGACCTTCTCAATGTGCTGTTTTACTAGGCAGAGCATACTCGTTTTGTCAATACCGGACACCTTCACGATTCTTTTAGACAAGCATTTAGAAGACTAGTTCTTTGAAAAAATTTTTTCAGGGCAATTTTTTTTTTTCTGCGCAAGTTCTAAAAATTCTCCAAGTATCAATTACTACTGAAGAAGCGTCTCAAACTGAATGCTAATGTCGCATCCAACGGAACAATTTACCAAAGAATTCCTTGGCATTTGAGGTGTTGGTTGTAGTGTGACTGAGGCAGGCGAAGAACGTTTTATTTGCAGATGATAATAGTGAAAGAATGCAACGTCAGGAAAAACCAGAATACAACGTCAGAAAAAAAAAGAAACGAAAAAGAAAGAAATTGTTTGGCCTTTTTTCGTTAAAATATGATAGCGATCGAAGTAACGGTAAGCATAGAAGTCAGAAGTGGTCAGATATCTAAAAATAACCGTATTATACTGATTGTTTGGTAGTAGCTATCTATGTATTATCATACCAATCATAATTACCGAAACACTTTAAACTTTTAACAGATGTAATCTGTAATTTAAACTGAAGCATCTAAACTTCATTTTTGCAGAGCTAGCTATAGTCCTTTCCTTAATTGGGTTAGCCGTTGGAATTTATACAGTATCAGCGCTGTTGTATAAAATATCGTCGAAAAAATTGCCCTCACCAAGTGAAATACCTTTGGACGATAGTGTTTGTTGTGAACCATTTGACACGGAAAATCGAATGATGAAAAGTGTTAATTATGACGCTTTACCAGATACTTGCTTGGGCTTATTAGATGATGTTCCACTGTTAATCAAGGACGAGTCTCCACGTTATGCGAAGATAACGACTAAGCGGTGATGTCACACCAACAAGTTGCCTTCCAGTTACTTTGTGAAAATTGTTAGGTTATTTTTACTGGTTTCACTGTCAAATTACAGCTGTTGTTGTTACACTCAGAAGAGTTTATTGTTGTATCCGCTATTCAAATGTCTAGAATTTTTGTTTGTAATCATCTGAAGATAGCTGAGGAAATTAGCACTCAAAATTGTTAAAGAGCCGTCACAATCACTTTTCTGGCTGCTTCCGAAGATAAATTCATTTTTGTAAGGTACAGTAGCTGATGTCAATTAGGAAATAAGCTCTTGTAAATTTTTTTTAAAGAAAACTTTATAGGTTGCTTAGGTTTCTTTTTTGTTATCAAAAGTGTCTTATTGTCAGTAACTGGTGTTTGTTCACGTAATCTGTTGACAATAGTGCATATTTTTGCCATTGTTTACTGTACAAAATTAAAATGTTTTTCAAGCAGTTACACTATAAGCTACCTTTGACTTAGACTATAGTTCAGCTTTCAATTAAGATACTTCTTTGGAATTTTGATGTTTGTTACTGTTTTCTGAACCAGTTTTTCAATGAATAGTAACCATTTGGTGGTGAAAGCAATTGTCGTGATCTCAGTTTTGTTTTCAAACAATTTGCTCTTCTCGTAAAGTTTCTGTAACGCTCAAATTTCAAAACCATATAAATCAGAAAAAGAAAGAGTGAGTAGATAAAAAGACATAAGAATTAAAAAAATTGTTTTTTTAAACTGACGTTGGATATCAAGAAACAATTTTGTTGAAGCAGTGGCGGTACCAGAGTCACCAAGCTTTATTCAATCACTGTGACGTCAAAATAAAGCATCTCCTGCTTTTCTAGTTTATTATGCTAATTTCTACAACAAATAGTATTATAAAACTGATAAAAGAAAAAGTTAAACTACAACATAATTCTGTTTACTCTGCTCAGTCTAAAGCCTACAATTTCCAAGATATAGTACAGATGATACTGAGAGGTTTTCTAGCTGACTGAAAAGATTTACAGAAATTTGGTCAGACAGTGTCCTAAATGGCAGATTTATAAATGCTTAAAAAAATTGACACTTACTTTAGTAAAGTACTGTGAAAACTAATCATTGTATAGGTTGATTATCGATGTTCAAAAATCAGTAGCGTATCGATAACATATATGATCTTTCAAATGACTTAGTCTAATAAAAGCTTAGAGACAGAAGTTGCGTTTTAGTTAAACTGCTATTACAGATTCTACGATTATGCTACAATTATAACTATTTATAGGCAGCTTTAGTAGTTATTTAAATACCTGGTCTTGTTATAGAACAAGCAAATTTTGATGCATTTTTGAAACTTTATTTGTTATATTACGTTTACTAAGATCTAGCACTTTGCATAGACATAAAACTATTTGCATTGTAAGAACCTTATCACCTTTATACAACAAGCAGTAACAGGTATATTCTGATAATCAATATGTGATTTTGATAAGAACTGAATCTTTAGTCATTTTTTATACTGCTTGACAAAAATTTTTGATGAATGCAAAACAAGCAGCTTTAAAAGTTGCTCTAATCAAATGTTACCATTTTTACTCTATCGTCAGCGTACTTTTGTTTTGAACAATATTTTTTTTTGGTAATTGTAAAGCAGAATTCGTTTGTAGAAAATCAGCTTCAATATTCCTATAAGTAACTTTGCAAAATTTTTTAATTTGAAAGAAATTTTTTTGTGTAACACTTAAAGTTCGTTTGATAACTGTAACGAACAGTACTGAATAGTTTGCATTCAAATTTTTGTTTACCAACAAATAAAGTTCTTTTAGTGCTGGTAAAGTTTAAATTTGAAGTAACTGATGATTATCATTTTTTTTTTATTTTTTACAAACCTTAATTGTACGTTTTACAAAAAATAAAATTGGAAAATAATTCGAATTGAAACAATAATGTGAACGATTAAATAAGCACAAAATTCTGCTCACTAAGTTATATTAGTTGCTGCCGTAGCATTCTTATTACTTTCATTATACCTTCTGTCTTGTACTTGGGTACAACTTTGCGTAAATTCTTTTGACATACAGTCCAATAGTGATTATTAATGTGTAATTGTCGATTCCTAAACTGTTGGTAATTGTGGCTTCAAACTTTAATTACAACAACAAATTTAACTTGTAAAAAGAATAATGCCGTATTAATTTAAAAAGAAAAAAAAAGAGGAATTTAAAGAAAAACTAAAATTACCGTTAATATAAGAAGCGTTTAGCAAATCAATAAAACAGGAATTTTAATATCACTGATAAAATGAAAAGTTTAGCCTACATTCTTCACTTAAGTAAACAAGTTAACATAACTGCATTAAACAGTTTGATAGTACATAAAATACTCTTTATTTTCGGTAATAGGTCAGCTGATAGATCAAAGCAACTAAATTATCTGTGCACAATACAATTTAAAAAACTTCAAAAAAAGAAAAAAACAGCCTACCTATAATTTATGTCAACTGAAAACTTTATTACTCTGAATGCCAGTGAAGCAAATTGAGAAAACAAAGAATTTTAGCAAAAAGTCTAAAAAAAATCGACTCATTCACGTCAGTTTTTGACTCAGTTACATTCTCTCTTAGTTAACCTTGCAAAAATAATGGTTTCAGCCAATTCCAAAATTTGTCTTAATCTAGAGAAGATTTCTGAATTATCTCAGCTTTTTATACTTCATTTCAAATTGTCTCTGTAAAGAAACTTTTCAGATCATACTTTCTTTGAACAAGGCGACATACAACTTATAGTGGCACGCATAGCTCAAATTCTTCCCGAAAGCTTGCTAAATGTTTTTAGCCTTATATTCAATTCGGCAAAAACAAAAATTTGCCTACATGATTACAAATACTGCAGCTTTACCATGACTGAGTTACTCCTGACATCTGTATTCATTATTGCTACAATTGTCCCCTATCGAAGAACTTTTCTGCAAAAATAAAAGTTGCCAATCGAGCGT